GGGGGGGGGGACCGGTCCCCACCTATTGATCGATCGTGCCGGGTGTGGCTGAAGCCTCTGGCCGGTTTCGTGACGGAAAGTTCTGCCGAGGTTGATGATGGATCAACTGACTGGCTATATACTCGTACGTGTATCTTCGATCGGATTATTGCCTATCTCGGGCATCCATCGTTGACGCATATGGGGAGGGTTGTCGAGAGACACCTGGGCAACACGAGTAGCCGAGTCGAAGGACGAAAAAAAAGTCGCACAAGGCTAGAGCTACGTGCGTACCTTCAACCCTACCGTACCGTTACATCGTGGTGTTTTCCCGTCGCACGAGGTGATGCGGCTATTCATTCCTTTCTGCTACGGTACGGCGAAACGTGGTGAGGAGAGATGCACCGTCGCGCTTCCTCCTCCAAAATCTCTCAACTGCCGGATCCCCTCCCCCCCCCCCTTCCCTTCTCCACTCACGCAGTCGACCAATCCCATTCTTCGCAGTTCGCCTCTATGGCTTCGTAACGCGCCGCGCGCTGATCGTCTTCCCTCCTCTGATATTACCTCGATGCTGTTGGCTTGCCTTCAAGGAATGAGTGGGATATCACTCTGGCTCTAACCACATGCGCACACGCACCCCCCGCAACATTCTCATCTTCCCCGTGGGGACTTGACAGGGGACCACTCAAACATCAACTAGAGGGTGGAAGGGAAGGGTGGAAGGGGGAAGGGGGGGGAGGAGGAGGAGGAGGAGGAGGAGGAGGACCCGAAAAAAAGAATGACGACGGTTGGGACTTTGCCAAGAAACATACCGTCAGCGCTCGTAGAGTTCGATCATCGTCGAGACATTTCTAGAAGAGAGGGGCGCTCGGGGGTAGGCCGCAAGAGATGACAGGGGGAAGGGGGACACTCATTCTCCCATTGGGCAAGTCCACCGATTCCTTTTCTCCTCATCATTCTAGGAATCTAATAGCACCTTGTGGACTCGTACATGTGTAGATATGGAGTTTGGGGGGGGGGGGGGGGGTTGAGATTTTTTTTCTTCGGCCGCTTTCCACCGTGAACCAAGACCAAGACTTAGTATGCGGTCAGCCATTGTGCCATTCTATCTAGGAAGGAGCCATCCATGTATGTATGTTCCTATATTAAGTCATTCCTTTCCTCTCGTGTCTTGTTGCTCCCTCCTACCTCATCCAGCTCTCTGTTCTTGCGTGCAAGGGCCCAAACATCTCCTGTCTTCTTTACATTCGCCTGGTGTTGTCGTCACTAGCAGTAATCTACTACCGTCTGAATCTCATTGTGTGCTAGCCATTGCTTGCCGACTGTCCTCGACAAGCACACACTCGCCTACCTGCTCAGATACACCCAAGGAAGTGCGATGGATAACAAAAAGGTGGACAAGTTGGGAGATGTTGTCCATAAGGAGGACCGCTTCTCCTCTTCCTCGCAAGAGGACCTGAGTCTCCAGCCATACGGACCACCGGGTAAATACGCTACTATCACGGAACGAAGGAGACCCTGCAGCTGACAGGCCTCAAAAGGATTCCGTGGCATTGCTGCTTCTCGCTATGTCGCTGTCTGTGCGTCGTTCAGCGCCGTTGGCGGCCTTCTATTCGGTTACGAGTATGCCATATTACCCCGATCCACCCCGGCGCATCATGTGTGATGGACGACAGGCCCCTAACGAGGAGAGAAAAAAAAACAGCCAGGGCGTTATCTCGGTCACGTTGACTATGGATCAGTTCCTAGACCGGTTCCACGAGGTGGCCGATGGCTCTTCAGGGTCGGGATTCTACAAGGGCCTCATGACGGCCATGATCACCCTCGGTGCCTTCATCGGAGCCCTCAACCAGGGTTGGATTGCCGACGTCTTCTCGAGAAAGTACTCCATCATGGTGGCCGTCGTCGTATTCATCGTAGGCTCTGTGCTCCAGACGGCGGCCATCGACTATGCTATGCTTATCGTCGGACGTCTGATTGGTGGTATCGGTATCGGCATGTGAGCACGACCGCACTCATCCATGCTTTGCTCTTTTGTCGTGCGAGTCTTGGTCAGTCGGTAACTAATCGAGAACTCCTCCACAGGCTGAGTATGGTCGTCCCTCTGTATATTTCCGAGATCTCGCCCCCGGAAATCCGGGGTACGCTCCTCGTCCTTGAAGAGCTGAGCATCGTCATCGGTATCGTCGTCGCCTTCTGGATCACCTACGGAACGCAGTACATCGACGGCACCCACTGGTCTTGGCAGCTGCCGTTCGTCATCCAGATCATTCCCGGTGTCTTCCTCGGACTCGGCGCCACCTTCCTCCCCTTCTCGCCCCGATGGCTGGCCTCCAAGGGCCGCGACGATGAAGCTCTGAAGAACCTGGCCAAGTTCAGGCAGCTCCCCGAAACAGATTCCCGGGTCCGTAGGGAGTGGCTCGAGATCATTTCCGAGTCCAGGTTCCAGAAGCAGGTCCTCTCCGAGAGGCATCCCGACCTCGTCAAGCCCGGCACCTCCAATGCCATCAAGCTTGAATTTGTCGCCTGGACCGACTGCGTCAAGAAAGGATGCTGGAGGCGCACACACGTCGGCGCCGGCATCATGTTCTTCCAGCAGGTGAGGTCTCCTCCTGCTCATGACATCAGTTGAGACGTGCCGCGTGTGCTGACAACAGCGCTGCCATCAGTTTGTCGGAATCAACGCTCTCATCTACTATTCTCCGACGCTCTTTGGGTGAGTACACGTCCTCCGGACACACGGGTGACCCGGACTCGGTGATCGGTTCTTACTGACGACGACGACGACAGCACCATGGGCCTCGGCCACAATATGCAGCTCATCATGTCTGGTGTTCTCAACATGACGCAGCTCATCGGTGTTGCGTCGAGTCTCTGGACCATGGACCGTTTCGGGCGTCGCAACCTGCTCATGCTGGGCTCCGTCCTCATGTGTATCTCTCATGTCATCATCGCCATCCTGGTCGGCCTCTTTTCGGAGAACTGGCCTGCGCACCAGGCACAGGGCTGGACCAGTGTCGCCTTCCTCCTCTTCTACATGCTGGCATTCGGTGCTAGTTGGGGACCGATTCCTTGGGCCATGCCGTCTGAGATTTTCCCCTCGTCGCTGCGTGCCAAGGGAGTTGCCATCTCCACCTGCTCTAGTATGGAACGATCCCCTGCCCGCTGACAAAGTATGAAGAGTGACGACGTTGCTGACCATCATTTTCCACCGGCAGACTGGCTCAACAACTTCATCATCGTACGTATTCCTCAGAGAAGCTTGATGTCGCCTTGTTGATGTACACCAGCCAGGCATGCTGACTTTACCACGACAGGGATTGATTACGCCGCCTCTTGTGCAGAGCACAGGTTTCGGCGCGTACGTCTTCTTCGCCTCGTTTTGCCTCCTGTCCCTCGTCTGGACGTTTTTCTTTGTGCCGGAGACCAACGGGAAGACTCTCGAGGAGATGGACAATGTCTTCAAGGACCGCGACAGCACCGGGGAGCTGGTGACGAAGCAGCGTATCTTTGAAGAGACACGCACTGAGAAGTTTCAGTCCAGAAGGAGTGAGGAAGCATGAGTTGAGAAGTTGAATACATGTGTATTACCACTTGGAAATTGCCATCACATGGCTACTAGGCAATACTAATACTTTATTATTACATACGTCGCGAAGCCATGATGGTGAGTTGTATGAAACGATCAGGGATATAGATTGCAAGATATCTATGAACCAGCCAGACATGTATGCAATGGTTGCTTCTGCCACGTCCGTACCATATATGTATATATATATTGAATCCTATTGGTTGAATTTGTTCATCATCATGGTACAATGGTAAAGCGACTCGTAATATTGTTCAGCTCGTCAGTGTTGCCGGACTTGTGTTGTTAGCTCCGGTGTCGGGGAAGAGGGGCAGCGGGCGATGGAGGGGCTCAAAAAAAAAAATTAACTGGATGGTACCACGTTTTCTGCGTCGGTGAAAAACCACGACCACGACGCTCTCTCTTGTCCCTCCTCCTCCCTCCGCTCCCCTCTCCCCCGCTTCTGTCTGCGACGCGACAAGAGAGATAGATAGATAGATAGAGAGAGAGAGAGAGGGAATATCCGAACTGAATAGAATACGAGGACTACACCGCCGCCCGCCGCCGCCGTTCGATCGATCCACTTCTCTTTCCTCTGCCGACCCGTCACCAGAATAAGAATGGAGTCCTTTGTGATCAAGACGCCCTGCTCGAGCGCCAACATCGGCCCCGGCTTCGACGTCATCGGCCTCGCCCTATCCATCTACCTCGAACTTCACGTGACGATTGACCGGACCGAGAAGGCGACGAGTTCCGGCGCTGGCGAGCCGCTCAACTGTCGTCTCACGTACGAGGGGCAGGGGGCCGACGAGATCGACCTGGACCCGCGCAAGAACCTCATCACCCGCGTGGCGCTGTACGTGCTGCGGTGCCACGACCAGCGCCAGTTCCCCGGCCGGACGCACGTGCACATCAAGAACCCGATCCCTCTGGGGAGGGGTCTCGGAAGCTCGGGCGCCGCCGTGGTGGCGGGCGTCGTGCTGGGGAAAGAGGTTGGCGGGCTGAGGCATCTCACCGATGCTAGGCTGTTCGACTACTGCCTCATGATTGGTAGGTTTGAATTCCTGGCTCCTGTCTTGCCGGCACCTGTGCAGATGGATGGGTGGATGGATGGATCGGACCAGAAGGAGGGAAAGAAGCAGGGCAACGGGAGTAGGGAAGAAAGCAACAGCTGACTAAACATCGCAGAGAGACATCCCGATAACGTCGGAGCTGCCCTGTTCGGTGGATTCGTGGGGACGTACCTCAAGCCCCTCAAGCCGGAGGACGTGGCCCGTATCGAGATCCCGCTCAGCGAGGTGCTCCCGGCGCCGGCCGGCGGGGTCGACACGGGGGAGAAGCCCCCGTCCCCTCCGTACGGAATAGGCCACCACATCAAGTTCCCCTGGACCGACGAGATCAAGGCCATGGCCATCATCCCCGACTTCGTCGTCGCCACGCACAGGGCCAGAGAGGTGCTTCCCGAGAAGTACTCGAGACCCGACGTTGTCAGTCCTCCACCCTCCCCCCTCCTGCAGCCGGCCACGCACCCACGTCTCTGACAGCAAGGCAGGTCTTCAACCTACAGCGCATAGCCCTCCTCCCCGTGGCTCTGGGCCAGAGCCCCCCCGATCCCGACCTGATCCACCTGGCGATGCAGGACAGGGTCCACCAGCCCTACCGCCAGGTCCTCATACCCGGACTCAACGAGATTGTCGAGTCCATGTCACCCAAGACGGACCCCGGATTCCTGGGCGTCTGCCTGTCCGGTGCCGGCCCCACGATTCTCGCCCTCGCCACGGAGAACTTTGAGACGATTGCCGACAAGATCATCGGTATCCTGAGGCAGTTCAACGAAAACAAGCAGCTCAAGTGCACCTGGCAGGTTCTGCAGCCGGCAGAGGGTACAAAGGTTATAAGGTAGATTGGGCAGAGGACCAGACCGCTTTTTCTTCTTCTTTTTTTTGTTCCCTGTCCGGAGTATAGCCTCCACTACATATATTAGATTTTGCTTTTTCAAAGAGAAGAAGCAGGCCATAAGAAAAAGGTGCTTGCACATCAAAATGTTGCCACATCTTTTCATCGTCGAAATATGTACTCCTAAGATACTAGATAAAGGATTTTTTATATATATATCTTTATTTTATACATGTATATATATATTTGCAAAGAAAGGGGGGAAAAAAAAAGCTGTCTATACCACTCTTGCAAGTTCTTTTTCTTCATGTTCGCTAGGGAGAATGCTTCTGAGAATCAGTTGTTATCATCATCACGTAGACCCAAGTAGAGCGGTGATCACGCAAAGTTTCGTTTTGTCGTGACGGAATAGCAGAACTAGTCGTGGTGTATTACGAGTATACATGCATGCGTAACCTCATCTCCAGGGTCATGGCCAGGGTCATGGCCAGGAGGGATGACCGTCCCCAAAAGCTCGCTGACCATGCATTTAGGCTAAGCTGTATGGAGAAGCAGGATGCGCATTTTTTTTTTCAACCGACCGATACCGGTATCATCGTCACAACGTGTTCAAGGAGTTAGACTGCACTGCAAAATTTCCATTATTATTGTTTTGTACGAGCACCGCCAAACGCCGTATAATGGTTATTCCGGTGCGGATCTGAGCCTCAGGCCTCTCTGCAAACATCACCATCTCAGATATATATCTACGGCCTCATCCCTTCCTCAGATAGATCATCACAAACAAGATCAACACAACCGCCGCGGCTCATCCTTCGAAGGGGCCAGAGCACCTGTAGCATCTACGTCACCTACGCGCGCGCGAGGACGCAATCAACAATTATAGGGTTGATGCAAGGTATAAGATAGGTAGTCATAGTAACAGAATGTCCCATCTCTGTCTAGCCCTTTGCAACTTATCAAGGCTTCTGAAAAAATGAACCTGTGAGGCCAGCTCGTCACACTTAGCTGGCCGCGATGTACGCCTTTTTCAACAGGATAAAGAAGGGCCTATATAAGTCAACCCATCAATGCGCATATCAGCTTGAACCTGGAGATGAAGAGTAGCTAACCTCTTGAACGCCATGACGATCGAACCTCGGCACAGCTCCACCGCCGGAGGGCACGGAGCACCACTTTATTGTGGGCGGGCGTAGAGCACCATGGAGAATTGTTGAGTGGAAAAATGACGATGGCATCTTTCTTTTTCTTTTTTTTCTTTTTGTCTTCAGTCTCCCCACTCCATGCATGGTGCCATCCTCTCCGCAGCTCCCCTGCCGCGCCAGCACCCTCCTCTGCTACGCTCTGGTCGTGCCGTTCTGGATACTTGCCCTGGTGGCACCCGCCGTCATTCCCATCCGCGCGCGCGTCGCCAGCGAGAAACCCCGCCGACATCACTGACGAGCTTCAGCTTCGGACAGCAGCAGCCCCCGCAGCCATGGCGTCAGCGTCCAGCAGGATGGACGCCTTTGCCATGATCGGCCCGGTATTCCTGCCGTTGGCGGTCGGAGCACTAGGCTACGCTGCCTACCGGATCGATTGGGTTGATTTCCTCACGGGACCCGGGAGTGTATCGCGCATCCTCCTGGTGCTGTTTGCCGCTTTCAACTGGAAGAACGTCCCGTTCGCATGGACGGTAGGTGGCCCTCGTATACTCGATATCCCCCTCCAGGACCCTTGAGCAAGAATGCAGAGCGCAGAGCTGACTCCCAGGCGTGACTGCAGTTCCGTGTCTTCTACAGCATCATGTACCACTTCTGGGTGCGCAGATCCCCGTACCTCGGCCCCGAAGCGCTGTTCAAGCCCTTCATCACGACGACGCACACCCCCATCCTCGAGATAGACTACAACCTCCACAAGTCCAACTCGACCTACTTCACCGACCTGGACGTGTCGCGCTCCCACCTGGTCTCGTACCTGTTCCGGCCCTCGCTCGCGCGTCTGACGCACAACGCCCAGAGCCGGCTCGTGCTCGACCCCAAGACGGGCGAGCCCATCAAGGGCCCGCTCGGCATCCTCCTGGGTGCCGTGCAGTGCAGCTTCCGTCGCGAGGTGGCCCCGTACCAGCCCTACGAGCTGTGGAGCCGCGTGCTCTCCTGGGACCGCAAGTGGCTGTACATCATCACGCACTTTGTGCCCCGCGGCGCCGCCAGGCCCACGCGCTGGCTTGATCCGGCCTACGGCGGCGTCAAGACCCGCGGCTCCGAGGACGGGAAGCCCTGGGAGGAGAAGAAGCTGATCGCCACCGCCATAAGCAAGTACGTCTTCAAGGTCGGCCGCTTCACCGTCAACCCCGCCCTCGTCCTCGACGACGCCGAGATGCTGCCTGAGCGGCCTGGCGGCTGGACTTCGGGTGACAACCAGGTTGGCGACGAGTCGGCCGATGTCTCGGACGTTGACCTCGAGCTCCACGACGATGTGGTTTGGGACTGGCGTCGCGTCGAGGCTCAGCGTCGCAGGGGAATGGAAATCGCTTCCCGCTTCCACTCGCTTGAGGAGGCCCACAGTCTGTTTGATGCCGGCGATAACGGTGCTCTCATCCGGGCATGGCCCAACTAGGTATCAGAGACAGGTACGCGGGGGGGGGGGGGGGGGGGGGGGNGTCTGTTTGATGCCGGCGATAACGGTGCTCTCATCCGGGCATGGCCCAACTAGGTATCAGAGACAGGTACGCGGGGGGGGGGGGGGGGGGGGGGGGACGGACCTCCTTTCTTTTCTTATTTCCCCTCTACACCTCTCCCCTTATTTTGCCCCCCCCCCCTATCTCGAGGTTTTTTTCCCCATTATAGATGCATGAAAGAGATGTCAGGGAAAAAAACGATCTATTGATATATATATATATATAGATATAAATTTTTTTGGTTACGATTAAAGAAGAACAAGGAATAGATATAGAAGCGCCCTTGGGAGCGAAAAAGAATAGAAAGACAACGACTACTGCAAACTTTTTTTTTCTATCCATTTCCAAGATCCAGCTTTTCCCCTGAAAGAACCTGAAAGAAAGAGAAAGGAGAAGAAAGAAGAAGGTAAAAAAAAGAAACGCGCTACCCGAGGCCAATCGCCGAATTACTTGATTGATATTTTTCTCTCGTACCTCATCACCCCATTCCCATTTCAAGAAAGCCATCACGGCTTGAGAATACCAGCAACAACGGCAGCTACAGCCATGACCCTCCCGCCACTGGACATGATGCTGGAGGCAACGCCGTCGATAGGCTGCGCCGTGTCGGCAGACGTCGTCTCGCTATTCTCGTCAAAGTCTATAGTCGTCGAGTTCTCACCGCCGACCGCCGCCGCCGCCTTGCAGATCTCGAGTGTTACGGAGCCGGTCTCTGCCAAAGTCCAAAAAATCAGAAATTTGTCCATCTGCGCAAAAAAAAAAAGAGGTGGGGGGGGGGGGGGGGGGGAGGAGGATGACAGTAGAGAGGGAGAGAGATGGGGAATGGTGAATGAGAGCAAGCGATAGACAAAGAATAAGGAAGAAAAAAGAGCTGGAAGAAGGAAGACGAAGAGAGAGAGAAAGGACGAAGGATGGAAGAAAGGAAGGGCAACACACCAGCCATCTCATCAAGGCTGCAACCGGAGTCGACCAGACAGGGAGCCACGGCGTCGGTCATGTCCTGGATATTCCGGCACAGACAAGAGTGATCTGTGGATTCGCAGCCAACCTTTTGCGCTCCGGCGGGGATGCACGCGACAGGGCACTTGGGCAGTTGTGATTTGAGCTCGGAAATGGTGCTGTTTGCATCGTCTTCTGCCGCTGCTGCTGCTGCTGCTGCTGCTGCTGTTGTTGCTGTCGTTGTTGTCGAGGCAGCGAGTGTGAATAGGATCAGAGTGGTGATGCATTTCATCTTGTTCTGACGCACAAGGCGAAGAATGAAGATGGCTTGTACTGGTAGATGATGAGATGTAGATCAATTCTCTATAAAACAGCGTCTTGAAAGAATAGATGGTTGAATAATTGAAATTCAAGAAGAAGTCAAAGTATGAGAGTAGAGCAGATATCACGAGGAAAGGGTCCGTAGGGCTGTTGGTGACGGGATGCACACGTACAAGATTCTCTTCTCACTCTACTGCTGTGTGCCCTGGATGTTACCGTGCTCTGGAATACGACTGGTTCCCCCGCGGTCTAGACTAGACTATCTTCGTCTTACAGAGTGACGACTAGACCAGCCAACCGGCTGCGAAGCGACAAGGGACCATGCAGCGTGCAATATCGTAGACGAGAGAGAGAGAGAGAGAGAGAGAGAGAGAGAGTCTGGAAAGGAAAGCCTCGGCCAAGGGTTTCCAGGGGTATGGTTGAGGCGAGGCCCGGGACTGGGAGTCGTATTTCCGATGGGCAGACGGTCTCGAGTGGAGGGGAATCATCAAGTGAGTGTGAATATGACGATATAATATTGTACACAGTTGAGACGACACAGAGAGAACGACTGAAACTTCTGGAAGCCAAGCTGTGCAAGGCAGCATGGGACAGGGGTCAAAGTCGTCAAAGATGGGCGTGGGTAGGGCCTTGATCAGAGCTTCCTGAGGTCCTATCCTCACTTATCAATACCTCGATTCATCAATTCGGTGCGAGTTGTCCCCCCCCACCTTGACGTCGTAACACCGATTTCCGTGGGAAGACGCTTGCCGTGAAACCGGACTGCATGAAGCTCCGCCTAGGATAACCGTTTTCGATCGGATGAAGGCTAGGCTTAGTCAGTCTCTTGCGAGATCTTGCGAGCTTTGCGACTGACAAAGTGATATGTCGTGTCGTGTTGCTTTCTGCGCGCGCTGTAGGGCATTTGGGCATGTTTGCGAGCATGGGTTTGCCGATCTCAGTATCACGATGACAAGGCGAGACACTCATTCACATTCAAAGCTCTTTTCCTTTTTTTTTTCTTTCTCCCCCCCCCCCCCCCCCCCCCCCCCCCCCCCCCCCCCCCTTCTTTAGGAATAAGTAAATCAAAAGGGAGACGAAGAGAAAGGGATGATATGGGAAACCATTTTCCTGGAAACGGTANCCCCCCCCCCCCCCCCCCTTCTTTAGGAATAAGTAAATCAAAAGGGAGACGAAGAGAAAGGGATGATATGGGAAACCATTTTCCTGGAAACGGTAGCCGAGACAATGACCTCCATCAATGCGAATGGCCAGGCAGTGAGCCAGTCACGCGTACAGTTCAATATGTAGATAGGCCGTTTTCCTGTATCATTCTAGCTCAACAAAGCTTGCAACTCGTGCACCTGGAGCCCAGGTGTTTAAGGCGGGTGAGATGATGTTCTCGGTTACATGCTGTCACCCACCAAAGTTGGGACGTTTACGCGGAAACATGTTGCCAGCCTCGTCAATGCTACGACAGTTTCACGATACCAGAAACTATATGGCCACGCTCGTCTCCCGCAGAGTCGATAGTCGGCCCCCGAAACTGGGCTGCTTACTAAGTATGACCATGACTTACGGTGCGATGCTGATGAATAGAAGGGGAAAATGATCTTGCCAAAGCTTCTCGGTTCACTGCGACTTCGCAGAAAAGGTCAAGTGTCAATGATAATAAGAGGGGGCAGGAGGAGAAGGAGAGAAGAAGAAGAAGAAAAGATATGAAATCAATGTTCTCAGAGACTGTGTAAACATGGTCCGCATTGGCAGGGGGTTTCCCTAACCTCAGAGCTTGACTCTATGTATGTCTTCATCATGTGAACTTGACCGTCAAGCCCCTCAGGGGGGAAGAACGTGGGACAACGGAGCAACAACTATCCCAGGACTCCCCATGAAGCCCAGAGTGTTGAGAAAAAAAAAAGAGAAGGGTAGGGGAATGCAAGGTTGTCACCACATTTGACCCCGACGAAGAGGCATAAACGCATTCTAAAATGACACAGAACCCCCTCTCGTCTCAAGAATGAGCCCCATTGAGTAACCGAGCTCCCCAAGGGGAAGACAAGGCAATCGCATACCTATCAATCTCGACAAAGAAGCTCCCTGGTAACCCGATACCACAACCCGCAAGCCCACGGAGTCCACCCGCCATCCACAGCTTCGGACGCCACACCCTCGAGGGGAACCCCCCCCCGAGACCTCGGAATACCAGGCTCGAACCACCCTGCCGGTACCATCCATCACATCCGACGCGGACTCGTATCTTCGTCCATGAGCGGCCGGGGCGACATCAGGTCACGGGACAGGGGGGAAGCACCCGGAAAAGATCAGAGAGGGCCCAGGAGGAAGAGGCGACGACGACTGCGGATTTTGAAAAAGATGGCAAGGCAGATCGGCAGTGCAAGGGGGAGGGCCTGGGTTGGCAGAACAGGGTCAGCCGCTGTGCTTTTATGGCGGCGCGTTTCCGCATTCCACATTTATCCAGAGAAGGAAAAAATATGGCCGTCCGGGGACTTTCTCCCAAAGCCAAGAGAGTGGGAGGCGCCGTGTTTTACCACGGCATCTCTGTTTGTGAGCTTCGAATAGCGATCTGTTGAACGAGAGGGGGAAGTTGCATGAAGAAGAAGAATGGACGGGGAAAAAAAAAATCGGTTCAACTTATTTAGGCTGCTGGTGTGGGGCCATGGATCTATCACGTGACTGACGCGTTCTCCAGGTACTCCGACCTCGTGTGGTTTTGCGCAAGCTTTCCAATGCACGCCTCGAAATATCTGACGCACGCTTCTTATTATTTGAGGAAAATGACGAGTATTGGTACTTGTCGACGTAATAGTAGACACGATGCGTCGTCTCTGAAGGGCAGCATGACTCGTATGCACTGATGCAGAGTAGGAACACCATTCAGAGTATCGGAGAATGGAGGAAAGAAAAAGAAAAAAAAACACAGACCGCAGACGCTTCTCTGAACTCCATCAGCCTCGTCTCGGCCTGCGGAATCCACGTTTCGGTACTTGAAATACAATGTGTTCTACGTCAAACAGGATAACCTCCATGTCAGTACAGGAGTCTCTTTGAAATAGATCAATCACATCATCTTCTCACCCTTCCTTGGTCATTATAAGATATTATCCAGTCCGTACGTCACCAAGATTCTGTCACCAAAGGCCCACTGGCCAATCATGTCCCTTTCTTTCACTCGAGCTGTGTGATCCACAGCAACTTCCTTCTCTTCGCTCTAGCTTTGCCCAACTGCAACCACCAGACGGCAGACCAACCTCGAGCCCTCTGCACCTGTCGCCCCCTTCCCTCACCCTCCGACAGACGACGCTTCATCTCCGACCGATAGTCCTCCCCCCTGACTCTCCTACATCCTAGCGAGTGACATTACGGGAAACGGGACCGAGCGGGAGAAGAAGACAGATCCGACCTACCTCGCTCCACTGAGCGAGACCCCGGGACGAAGCGCCTACCGCTCTCGACACGCACACACGCACACACGCACACACGCACACACGCTTCCTCGCCCGCACACCCTCCCTTCTGCCACAATGTCGGGCCTCTTCGGAAGCGCGGCAACGACTACGTCGTCTTCTAACACGCAGACCCAAGGCGACCTCAAGGGGGACGTGCCTCTCAGCAACCCGCCCACCGACACCATCTCGGGACTGGCCTTCTCCCCTGGGCAGAACCCCTCTGATTTCCTGGCCATATCGAGTTGGGATCAGAAGGTTCGCATCTACGAGATCTCGCAGACTGGTCAGAGCGAGGGACGTCATGCGTACGATCACGGGAAGCCTGTCTTTGACGTTGATTTTTCCAAGGTAAGCCTGACCAGAAAACGGGGGAGGGGGAAGGAGGAAGAATCAGCAGGACAAGAAAAGGAGAAGGAATTAGGAAGAGAAGGAGAAGAAGAAGAAGAAGAAGAAGAAGAAGAAGAAGAGGGAAAGACGAAAAGCTGCTGTATGAATTTCCACTGACTCGACGGCCGGTGGGGGGGGAGGGCCAAATGATAGGACGGTACAAAAGTCACGTCCTGCGGAGCGGACAACAACGTCAAGGTGTGCGACCTGGCCAGCCAGCAGGAGATTGTGGCCGGATCGCACGACATGCCCGTCCGATCGGTCCGGTTCTTCGAGAGCGGCGGCAACCCCATGATCGTGTCGGGGAGCTGGGACAAGACGATAAAGTACTGGGACATGAGGCAGCAGGGTCCCGCGGGCACGGTTCAGTGCCAGGAGCGCGTCTACACCATGGACGTCAAGGACAACCTGTGCGTCGTGGGCACGGCCGACCGCTACATCAACGTCATCGACCTCAAGAACCCGACCACATTCTACAAGACGCTCCAGAGCCCCCTCAAGTGGCAGACGAGGGTGGTCAGCTGCTTTGCCGACTCGGCTGGCTTCGCTATCGGCAGTATCGAGGGTCGCTGTGCTATCCAGTACGTCGAGGAGAAGGATTCTAGGTATGTCTCTCTCCCCTGCACTTCTTCCCACCCCGCTTCGCTTCCCCTTGTTCTTTTCGTCTTCTTCTTCTTCCCCCCCCCCCTTCTTTTCATCCTTCATATTCCTTCTTCTTCTTGTTGTTTCTGTCTTGCCATGCTCACTACTACAATTTCTGCAATTCGCATCATCATCATACTAATCTGAGCTGCAAACAGCTCCAACTTCTCCTTCCGCTGTCACCGTGACCCCCCGGCCAATGGGGTGACGAACGTCCACGCAGTCAATGACATCTCCTTCCACCCCGTCCACGGCACCTTTAGCACGGCTGGCTCCGACGGGACGTTCCACTTCTGGGACAAGGACGCCAAGCACCGCCTCAAGGGCTACCCCAACGTCGGCGGGAGCATCACCGCCACCACCTTCAACAAGACCGGCAGCATCTTTGCCTACGCCATCGGCTACGACTGGAGCAAGGGTTACCAGCATAACACGCAGAGTTACCCCACAAAAGTCATGCTGCACCCCGTCAACGCCGACGAGCTCAAGCCGCGTCCTTCGATGAAGAAGAGGTAAAAGGATTGTGTATTTTTTCTTTCTCAATTTTTTCCCTCTTTTTTTTTCTTCTTTTTTCCTCTTTTTCCTTGCAAGAAAAAAAAAGAAGCAGGAGGACTGTGGTCAGAGACGAGACGAGACGAGACGTGACGTGACGGGTGACAGAGATGGACGACGGCAATCAATCTAGCACCCAAAACAACAGCAACAACGATAGTAGGGTATACCCGTTGATGGAACGTGAAATGGGTCAAGGGAGAAGATGTAAAGGGCTGGTGCAGGAGAGCAGAGGGAGAGAGAGGGAGAGAGGAGAGAAAAGAAGCAAGATGGAAGCATCAGGAATAATGGGGTGGGGAGTTTTTTTTTATTAATTTTATTTTTTTTCCCTTTTTTTTCTTCTCTCTTCTTTCTTTCCATTCTTTTTCTGCTGTCATGCTTGAAGACCGGAGTGTGCCATAGTATTATCGAAATTTCACTTTTATAAATCATGTTAGATGCAGTAGAGGAGCCGATTGTCTGAATATGATTATCATGTAAAGAAATAGCTTGACAATAAGCAAAACGTCATTACAAGTGAATATGCTAATTATAAAAGTGGCCTGGTAGTGTTCTTTTTTGTCAAGACAGCCAAAGCTAAGAGAACAAGGTACAGAAAATAAAAACATTTCATGTCGAAGCGAACGAGGCAGTATCATCCCCATTTCCTCTCCCCCCCCCTTTTTTTTTTTTTTCCATCCCATATTTTGAGATTTCGACTTGCTATTTGGCACCCTTAGCCTTGGCAGGGGTCTCACCAAAGATATCATCGACTATCCCCTTCCACAGATCCCTGAGCATAGTACTCTCCGCCTCGGGAGCGCTGGGGGAGGCGGTAGCAGCCGTGCCTGCGCGGGCGCCGTCGCCGCCGGCGCGGGCAAACTTGAGCTCGACATGGTCCAGACCGGCGGGGTGGACGTCGGACAGAGGGGTGGAGGGCATGACCTTTGCTGGGTCGGCGGCGACGATGGTGGTGCCGAGGTTCGCCGAGCGGGTGCTCAATTCCGGGGAAGGGTTGACGGCCCTGGAGGAGGAGTAGTTGTCCGGGAGGATGGGGATCATGGCGGGAACGTCGTCGGGCGAGGGTCTCGACGGGGGGGTCCTGAGGACGACGGCGTCGAGGTTTGGCGAGGGCGCCGACGAGGCGGCCGTCGTGGAGTGGAAGGTCTGCATGAGCGGCCTGATGCGGTTGGAGATGGATGGCTGAGGGGTGGGACGGTGGGTGGTTGTGAGGTGGCGGGACTTTGTCGGGGCGTCAGCTTAATCTGAGGGGAAGAGGAGGGGGTCTGTCCTCGTGGATGTGATGTGACGCCGATGAAGATGGATCAACACACACACACACACGCGAGATACAAGAATGATGGAAGAAGATGATCAAAGGAGTACGCGAGAGAGAGAAACATACATCGTGATGCTCATTCCCACGCAGGAGCTCGGCATATTTGGGCATCAGGACGGCACCGGCATTGTGGTCGAGGAGGACACCTGAGCGAGAGGTTGCGTTGAGGGAGCGGGAGAGCTGCTTGGCTGGGGCTGCGGTGACGCGGGACATGTTGGATGTATGAGTGGACAGATGGGATATCGCAAGTTGATCTGTAAGCGGGAAGATGGAAGACGGAAGAGGTAACGACGAGGTTTTCCTGGTACGAGTCTGGAGCAGAGCAAAGGCAGAGAGCGCAAGACAGAGCAAGACAGAGATGGAAGGAAGAAAAGAAGGAGGGGGGGGAGGGGGGAGGGGAAGGGAACAGGATGACCAGTGACTTTTCTTAAATTCGCATCAAGCTTACGAGTACAGATTACCGCTACTCGGACTATGAATGAAATGAATGGCGTTGCCGTACACAGAGACACAATTGCTTGTATCGAGTACGAGTGTATACAGGCATGATAGAATACCGTATACGGTACGACAAGAGGTACAGATGAAGGGTATTATTATTGATAATAATACATCGATACAATTCGTCAATGCTGCACATCCCATCCCTCCCCTCTCGTACGATGGAGGGATAGTAACTTGCAGCCATCCAGGTGATATGCAAAAGCTCCCCCCCCCTTATCCTATCTGGGACAACTTCCCCAACAACAACAACAACAACAACAACAGACCACGAGTAGATCCATAATTGGTGGGGCAGGGTAGCAGGATGGAAAAAAAGACTTGACCGCTCAATTAGACGATTGGGATTGGAAATGAGGTCCTCATAACATTTTGCTGTCGGGCGATGTGTCTACTGTTCAAGCACATGTATCATTACGTGATTACCCCGTACAGGCATGAGGTTCCTACATGATCATATTACTACTGCTCGTATAGTGACAATCGTAGAATCATACATGACTTGGACATGGAACAAGATTCACCGTTCCATCTCCCCCATCACGGTGGAGCTCTCTCCCTGCCGGCGGTGTGTGTGTGGGGGGGGGG